GCCTGCTCGAAGACCTACACGAAGATCGAGGGGGTGGAGGTGGAGGAAATGGAGGAGGAAGAAGAAGGAATGGAAAAGAAGAATGAGAAGAAGAGAAGAAAAAGAAGACGAACAAGAAGCTCTACCTTTTGAGCTTCTTCTTCGTTGTCTTCGTTTTCTTCTGTTCTACTTCTTGTTCGTCTTATTTTTCTTCTTCTTCTTCGTTTTCTTCTCCATTTCCGTTCCTTCTTCTTCTTACTCCTCAGCCATCTCATTCCCTCCTCGTCCACCTCCTCCTCCATTCTTCCTCCCCCCATTTCTCCCCCCCCGCTTCGCCATCTTTTTCTCATTACCTCCGCCATCTCTCATTCCTCCTCGTCCACCTCCTCCATCCTTCCTCCCTTGGTTTTCTTTTTCTCTTTTTCTCCTCGCCACCACGTCATCTCTCCTCCGCCTCCTTTGTCTTCCCTCTTCCCCCACCTCTTTTGTCTCCCTCCACGTTCATCTTTCCTCCCGCCATCTTCCCTCCTCCACCACCTCCCCAATCCGTCGTCCTTTTTTTGTGGTTTTTTTTTTTGTTTTCGGTTCTCGACTTCTCAAACTTCTCCCCTTTGCCACGTCCTCCTCCATCTCACCTCCCTCCTGCTCCTCCCGCCAATTTTTTGCCATGTCATCTCTCATATTGCCATGTCATCTCTCATTCCTCCTCGTCCACCTCCTCCATCCTTCCTCCCTCGGTTTTCTTTTTCTCTTTTTCTCCTCGCCACCACGTCATCTCTCCTCCTCCTCCTTCGTCTTCCCTCTTCCCCCACCTCTTCTGTCTCCCTCCGCGTTCATCTTTCCTCCTGCCATCTTCCCTCCTCCACCACCTCCTCAATCCGTCGTCCTTTTTTTGTTTTTTTTTTTTTTGTTTTCGGTTCTCAACTTCTCAAACTTCTCCCCTTCGCCACATCCTCCTCCATCTCACCTCCCTCCTGCTCCTCCCGCCAATTTTTTGCCGTGTTGCTGCCATTTCATCTCTCATATTGCCATGTCATCATCTTCTTTTCTTGTTATTGCCATGTCATCTCTTATTGCCACGTCATCATCTTTTCTTCTTCTTCTTCTTCTTCTTCTTCTTCTTCATTCGTTCTTCTTCATCTTTCTCCTCGTCCACTTTCTCCACTCCTCCTTCCACCATTTTCCCTTCTATTTTTCTCCTAATATGCTAATACACTACCTGCACGAAGACCTACACGGTGACGGACTGGGTGGAGGTGGAGGAGGACGAGGAGGAAGAACAAATGGAAAAGAAGAAGAAGAAGAAGAAGAAGAAGAACAACAACAACAACACCAACAACAACAATAACAACAAGGAGCTGAAAGAGCTTCTTGTTCTTCTTCTTCTTCTTCATTTCTGTTTCATCTTCCTATTCCTTCTCCTCTGCCATCGCATTCCCTCCTCGTCCAGCTCCCCCTCCATTCTTCCTTCATTTGTTTTTCTCCTACTCGCTGCGTCATCTTTATCTTTACCTCCGGCATTTCTCATTCCTTCTTGTCCACCTCTTCCTCCATCATTCCGCCTCCGTTTTCTTTTTCTTTTCTCTGTCTCCTCACCACTACGTTGTCTTTCTCCTCCGCCTCCCCCGTGTTCCCTCTTCCTCTACCTCCTCTGTCTCCCTCCTCGTCCATCTTTCCTCCCGCCATCTTCCCTCCACCTCCTCCTCAGTCCATCGTCTGTTTTCTTTCTTTTTATTTTCTTCGGTTTGAAACTTTTCCCGTCGCCACATCTCCTCCTCCACCTCCTCCTCCATCTCACTGCCATGTCATCTCACCTCTTCGTCCCTCGTCTTCCCTCCTCCACCTCCTTTGTCTCCCTCCTCGTCCTTCATCTTTCCTCCGAGTCCCGCCATCTTCCCTCCTCCTCCACCTCCTCCTCAGTCCTTCGTTCGTTTTCTCTTTTGTTTTGGGTTCTCCAACTTCTCCCCGTCGCCGGGTCCTCCTCCTCCTTCTCACCTCCCTCCTCCTTCACCTCTTCTTCCATTTCCCCCCCCCCTCCCCCCCCTTGTTGCCACGTCACCTCATCCGCGACGTCATTTTAACTCCCTCATCACTTGCCAAGTCATCTCATTAGCCACCTCCTCCACATCCTCCGCCATCCCACGTCCCTCCTGTTCTACCTCTTCCAACGTTTCTCCCTCCATTTTTTATTTCTTTTTTTTTTCCCTTGTCGCCACGTCATCGTGATCTTCACTTCGTTTGCCATTTCACCCAGTTTTTTGTTTCTTAATTTTCTTCTATTTTCTTTTATTTGCCGCCACGTCATCTCTCCCGCACCTCCTTTGCCATGTCTCCTCCCTCCGTCTCCGCTTCTCCTCCTCTCCTCCTCGTCAATGGCTCGTCATCGTTTTCTTTTATCGTTGTCCCTTGTCGCCATCCACCCTCCCTCCACCCTCCATCCTTCTTTCCTTCATCTTCCCTCCGCCTCTAGGTCCGCTTTCTCCCCTCATGCATCATTCTTCCTCCCGCCATCTTCCCGCCATTCTTCTTCTTCTTCTTCTTCTTCTTCTTTTCTTCTTCTTCTCAGTCGGAGCCTTCTGTCTGTTTTTTACCTCTCTTTTATACCTGCCTTTTACGCTGTGCAAAAACTGCCAACAAGCAGTCCAATGGCTCCCAGTCTTCGCCATTCATCCTCCCCTTTTCTTATTCTTGTCCTCCTTGTTCTTGTTCCTCCTCCTCTTTCTCCTCATCGGTTCGTGTTCTTGTTCTCCTTCTTCTTTTTCGCCTTTCATTTTCTTTTTCATCTTCTTCTTCTTCTTCCACGTCGAAGCAATCTTGTCCTTGTTCTTGTCCTTGTTCTTGTCCTTGTTCTTGTTCTTGTTCTTGTCCTTGTCCTCCTTGTTCTTGTTCCTCCTCCTCTTCCTCCTCATCGGTTCTTCTTCTTCTTTTTCTTCTCCTTCTTCTTCTTCTTCTCCTTTTTCTTCTTCATCTTCATCTTCTTCTTCATCTTCATATTCTTCTTCTTCTTCCACGTCGAAGCGCTGTCTTTTTTTTTTTTCTGTTTTTTCCCCCTGCCTATTACACTGTGCACGAATTGCCAACAAGCAGTCCAATGGGTCCCAGTCTTCGCCATTCATCCTCCCTCCATCTTTGTTGTTCTTGTTCTTGTTCTTGTTCTTGTCCTCATTCTTGTCCTTGTTTGTCCTTCTTATTGTTCCTCCTCTTCCTCCTCATCGGTTCTTCTTCTTGTTCTTCTTCTTCTTCTTCCACGTCGGAGTCCTCTGTCTGTTTTTTTTTTTTTTTTTTTTCCCTCTGCCTTTTACGCTGTGCAAGAACTGCCAACAAGCAGTCGAATGGCTCTGTCCTTTACGCTGTTCCAGATCCGAAACTTCTCGCTATTGCATATCCAGAACCGGTTCTGGAAGTGGTTCCTATTCCAGATCTGGTTCTGTTTCCCGTTACAGATCCGGAACAAGCTCTAGAACTTCCTGTCCCAAATCTGGACCAGCAGCAGATTCAGAAACGGTTCTGGAACTGGTTGCTGTTCTAGATCTGGAGCGAGTTCTGGAACTTCCTATTCCAGATATGGAGCAGCTGCAGATCCAGAAACGGTTCTGGAATCCACTTCTCTTCCGCCAACGCTTCAACCCTGATCCTTCCCCCTTCCCCTCTCCCTCCTGACCTTCTCTCTGCGCCATCGTCGCCTCTCCTCTTCTTCGACATCTTCTTTTTCCTTCTTCTCCTCTTCTTCTCCTCCCTCTTCTTCGTCATCTTCTTCTTCTTTCTCCTCCTCTTCCTCCTCTTTTCTCCTCCTCCTCCGTTAGCCATAATTGTCGGAATCCGACAATTTCCAACCTTCAAAGTTTTATTGCGGAACCCGACAGATCTCGGCAACTGCAATCGGATCCCGCGAAGGAAAAAATATATATATAAAAAATTCAAAATTGGGCTTTTTTTTTTTTTTGGCATTTTTTTTGGACCATCCGGTTTGCCGGTTGACCCCCCTCGGGCCGGTCCGATCCCGGTTGGACCGGGCCAGCTCGACCGGACGGTTGCTGGACTAGGTTTGGATTTTTTTTTTTTTTTCTTTCTTTTTTCTTTTTTCTCTGTGGTAAGTTACTAATTCTGAAGTTCGAATTTTCGGCACATGCCAATCCGATATTTTGGAAATTCCAAAATTTCCGGCATTCCGCAAAATCCGCAAATTCTACGAATTTCGGAATCCCGAAAATTTGAAATTTTGGCATTCCGCAAAATCCGCAAATTCCGCGAATTTCTGAAATTCCAAAAATTCTACACATTCTGCAAATTTCGTGGAAACCGTGTCTAATCGGACTTAGGGTTAGGAATTAGGTTCTGGCAGATTTCGTTTTCCAAAATTCGTGAATTTTTTTTCAGTAAGTTATTTCGTAATTTTTCTCGGGCCGTACCCTTGGAAATTAAGGTGACGTAGTCCGCGATTTGCAACGCGGAAATCTTCTGACGAATTTCGTTTTCTGAAATTCAGAATAATTCCAAGACATTCTTTTATGAAAATTTCCACGAATTTCTACTAAAAATGTTGCGATCCTTTTTCTAATTTCGTTAACGAGTGAGATTTTTTTATTTTTTTTTTCAGATTACCAAACGTTTTCAACATCCGAATGTTACCCTTTTTACTGCTCGTTATCTGATAGATGCCTCCCTAATTCTCAAATTGACAGATTTCAAGAAAAAAAGGAAAAGGAGAGCTCTTTTTCTTTTTTCATTTCTTTCTGTTGATTATTATGAAAATTTCCACGAATTTATACTAAAAATGCTGCAAATCTTTTTCTAATTCCATTAACGAGTGAGATTCGTTTTTTTTTTTTCCGGATTACCAAACGTTTTCAACATCCGAATGTTACCCTTTTTACTGCTCGTTATCTGATAGATGCCTCCCTAATTCTCAAATTGACAGATTTCAAAAAAAAAAAAAAAAAAGGAGAGCTCTTTTTCTTTTTTCATTTCTTTCTGTTGATTAGTACCGGGATTGGAAATTGCAGTCCGGTGTTTGCCTGTCTGCATGTTTCTTCCCACCCCTCTTCGTACTACGGTAGTGCCACTTCAGCAAGTGCCATGTCAGCAAAGTGCCACATCAGCAGCAGGGCCACGTCAGCAGTGCCGTGTCAACCGACACAGTACAGCTAACCACAGCTTATGCACCGACGCAGCAAATGCATCGCAGCACATGAAGGGCGGGCAGCCGCAGCAGAACAGCAGCTACCCTTGCCCCTCCCCTCTGCAATGGAGGCACAGGGCAACCCCACGGTGGACAGTGCCGCATCCGGCAGTCCACGCAAGGTGTGCAACACGAACCCCCTGGTCCCACAGGTCCAGCAGGAGAGGTCCACTGCGACACCTGCCGAAGACCTCGACGCTGCGCCAGTCCGGCAGCAGAATGAGACCATGACGGCCTTCTTGGCTCGCCTCGCCACGAACATGCAACAAGTACAAGAGGAACAGCAACGCGAGGCGGCAGCCGAAGCCGCACACCTCAACGCCATTGCACGCGATGCGGAGCAACGGCGCCGGCAGCACGCTGAAGCAGCTGCCAACCATAATAAAGCTCGACAAGATGCCGCATCCGTCCTCATGCAGCAGGAAGCCGTTCATACTGCCGCACTCCAAGCATGGAATTTTGATCCGGCCGAGGCGCACACGGAACCAACTGTGGAGGAACAAACCAACTCGGCCCTCGCCAACATCATGCACCAAGTCATCCTCACTTGTAACTGGCAACAAGTGGAGCTGGCCCGGCAGGCACATATTATTTCCGATTATGAGGAGACTCTCAAGAGTCTCCATGCCCGCCTTGACATGCTGGAGAAGGATGACGTGCCGCACAGGCACACGACATCCTCGAGCATCGATCCATCGATCCGCGAGCTGGAGGAACAAATGGATCACCTGGTTGTGCTCGTCGGAAATTTGAACAGTTTCCAACGACCGGCGACCATCAGCCAGCAAATGGTCGCCCGACAAGCGGACATGCGTCAGTTGCAGCAACAACCAACCGGGACCTGCAACAGCATGACGTCCAAACAGTACAAGATGCCTAAGTTCAGCATCGACAAGTTCGATGACTACCACAAGGCGGACACCAACGAGCTCTCCATTCACTTGGTCCTGCCAGAATTGAAGATCTCAGCTCTTTACCTTTGCAGCACCGGTGCCAGCCAAGTGTGGCTCAACCACCTGGCAAAAACTGAAAGGCATCGAGGTCGCCAAGCTCTACACCAAGATCACTTGGGAGGCCATGACCGAGAAGTGGCGGAAACGCTTCATCGTCGACGACGCTCAAGGCCAAGGCACGAACCGGATCTTCACCATGCACCGAGGCAGCCAGCTAACCGAGTGGCAGAAACTTGTGACGATTCCGAATCTGGATATGCCATTCGTACATCTTTGTCGCGAATTCTTCCAGCGATCGGTGGACGCATTGAGCACAACCCTTGGGGAGCGCAGCCTGCCAGTCGCTGCTGTCCAATTCGATGGACAAGAGGACAACCAGGCGCTGACTCACAAGTCTAGACGGAGTCAACGCCCTTACGCCACGGCACAACAACAAGAAGAAAAAGGCGAAATCCGCGTTAACAACCGAAGCCGGACAGCCAAATGAGTCGTGGAAGAAGTTCCAACTCACGGAGGAGCAATACAAGCTTCGCCAGAAGTGGAAGTGTTGCTATTGGTGCAATAGCACCAAGCACACGACGTCGCAATGCCCCGACAAAGGCAAAGAAGACGTACGCCCACGACAAAGCTCGAGAAACTGAGCTCCGCGGGAAGTGAGGCGACTCCACTTCCTACTCCGCCAGACATGGTTGCCTTGCTAGCAACCTCCTCCACGTCCGGGGAACATGCGCATTTTGCAAGTCTTCAAGAAAGTTACGAAGACTATGCTGTCCAGCTGGTCCCTCCGTTGGACCAACCTCTCCACGTGCAAGAGTCATACGCGGGCGCGACTTCATCACCATCGCCAAGCGAACCAGCATCCTCACCGACACTACTCGGGCACTCATCGGTATGGTCTAGACTTGAGGACCTCGACCCATTGACGCCGGAGGACTTCCAATGGATGCCTCTTCCCCCATTTGGTTCCTTGCCGAAGCCACATTGCAACGCCCTAATGGCGGATCTACGCACCTACTTGCACGCTGCTGTACCAACTCCGTTGATCGAAGACGGAGTAGCGGTTGTTGACCTTCGCGAGTACATTGCGAAGATTAACCTCGAATATGCCACGCAACGGTACGACAACATCGACACACCGTTACTCTACGTCCGCATTCAGATCAAGAAGGCGACCTGCAGCGCCTTGATTGATTGTGGAGCTACTCGCAACTACATCAGCCAATACTTCATGGCGCGCGCCAGCCTTGGGCCGTGCGTTCGAAGGAAATCGCAGCCCACACAAGTCACGTTGGCCGACGGTCGTACGCACAAGTTCATTGACCGATGCGTTGACTCCGTCCCCGTGTACTTCGCCCCGCATACACGTGAGGCCATGTCCTTTGACATATTGGAGACAAAGTTCGACATGATTTTGGGCATGTCGTGGCTGCGCAGCGAGGACCACCCGGTGAACTTCTACCGCCGCACCGTTCACGTTCGTGACCGAAACGGGGTACTTGTTCCATGTATGGTTCCCCCACCTCACCCTTCGATTGGTTATCACGTGGTCTCCGCGACAAGCATTTGCAACTCCATCGCACGGAACGACGTGGAGAAAATGGGCATTTGCTTCTTGCACACCCTCCCTCCTCCCGACGCGCCAGCGGAGGAATAGCCACCGGATCCACATATTGTCGAGCTTCTCGCCTCCTATGGCGACGTCTTTGAAGCCCCCGCCGGAATCTTACCGAATCGGCCAATTAGCCACGAGATCATCCTCGAAGATGGGGCCGGACCTCCGCGCGGATGTATCTACCGCATGAGCGAGGAGGAACTCGAAGTGCTACGAAGGCAACTCGATGACCTCATTGACAAAGGCTGGATTCGCCCTCGCTGGTCGCCCTACGGTGCACCCGTTCTCTTCATTCGGAAGAAGAACAAGGAGCTGCGCTTATGCATTGACTATTGTAAGCTTAACGCTCTAAACCATTTAGAATGTCGGCCCACTCCCACACATTGACGATCTTCTCGAACGTTTGGGCGGTGCCAAATACTTCTCCAAGTTGGACCTCAAGGTCGGTTACCACCAGCTCGAGATCCATCCAAGAGATCGCTACAAAACTGCGTTCAAGACACGGTATGGGCACTTCGAGTGGGCCGTAATGCCATTTGGCCTCACGAATGCCCCGACCACCTTCCAAACAGCAATGACAACGGAGTTTCGCGACATGTTGGACCGGTTCGTGCTCATCTACCTTGATGACATCTTCGTGTGTAGCCGGAGTTTGGAAGAGCACATCGTGCATCTACGCGTTGTTTTGGACAGGCTACGTATGGCCAAGTACAAGGCCAACCGAGCCAAGTGAGAATTCGCAAAACAAGGGCTCGAGTACTTGGGCCACTTTGTGACGCCGCAAGGCATCCATCCGCTGGCGGACAAGATCAAGGCCATCCAAGATTGACTACCAACACCGCGAAAGTTCACTCTTTTATTGGATTGGCCGGGTACTACCAACGCTCCATCGGAGGATACGCATGGATCGCCGCACCCTTGTCAAGATTGCAGTCCCCAAAGGTGGGCCCCTCCATTTCATCGACGAAGTCCGGAGTTCGTTCCAAAAATTGAAGACGGCATTGCTCCTCGCTCTCGTCTCTAGTATCTACGATCCCACCTTGCCTGCGAGAGTGACTATGGACACTTACAGTCATGGCATGGGTGCATACTTGGAACGACACGACGGAGTAGATTGGCATCTGGTGGAGTATTTCAGCCAAAAGGTGCCTCCCATCAACTTGGTTGATGATGCGTGGAACGAGTTGCTCGCTTTCGTCACGATACTCGAGCATTGGCGATACTTCCTCCTTGGGCATCATAGGTTCACTTGGGCTAATAACCCATTAACCTACTACAAGACGCAAGACGCGGTGAGCAACACGATCGCTTGGTGGATGTACTTCATCGACCAATTCGACTTCACACCAAAACACATTTCGGGCCTCTCCAACCGAGCCGCGGATGCTCTCTCGCGAAGATCAGATCTTTGTGCATTGACTCACCACACGTCTAGTTTCGATGACGCCCTTCATCAGCATTTCGTGTGAGCATACAAGTCCGATCCGAAAACCGCCACGCTCTAAGAGCAACTATCCTCGGATCACCCGCCGGCCAGCCATTATCGCGTCGTTGACAGCTACTTGCTTCTTCACTCGCGAGGCAAGGACTTACTATGTGTCCCACATGACCGTCGCTTATGAACTCGTCTCCTCTGCGAGTACCACGACTCACGACTCGCCAATCACTTCGGAGTCGACCGTACAATCGCAAGACTTCGGCAACGATTCCGGTGGCCTGACCTCATTACCGACGTCGCTTGGTATTGCGACTCTTGCGAAGTTTGCCGACGAAGCAAGCCCCGCAAAAGCAACCCCTATGGCGAGTTCCGCCCGTTGCCCATCCCGTGGGAACCCGGCCTGCTATGGACGTCACCGGCCCGTTTCCCCGCGACCACTTCGGGCACAACGGCATCCTCACGGTTATTGATCGTTTGAGCAAGTACGCGTGATTTCTTCCTTGTAAGTACTACACCACGACTCCTGAGCTTGCACGCCTCTTGCACATTGGCTGGATTTGCGGCCGCGGCGTTCCAGAAGACATCGTTAGCGACCGCGACACTCGTTTTATGTCGGCATTTTGGACTTCTCTCATGGAGTCCGGCACCGAGATGAAACCCAGTTCGGCTCGGCATCCACAAACGGATGAGCAAACGGAGCGGGCACATCAACCCGCTCAAATGATGCTTCGCACACTCATCCGTACGGATCAAGGATTGGATTGACCGCCTCCCCGACATCGACTTCGCCTACAACACTTCGTTGCATCCGGCGATTGGTGTGACTCCATTCGAGTTGCACCACGGTGGCAGGAGAGGCCGTATCTTCGCGGATCTTCCATTTCCAAGGACTGCTGACATTGACGCTGCTTGCTCTCCCGCATCTGTTCAAAAGTATTAGGACTTGTTGGCTAAAGCCCGCACCAACATGCAAAAGGCCCAAGTCCGCATGCAGCAGCAAGCCAATCGGTGTCGCGTGCTATACCCTATTCGCGTCGGTGGCCTTGTTTGGGTCTCCACAGAGGAGTTTGCACTTGAACAAGACGTCTAGCGCAAGCTACTTCCGAAGTGGTTTGGACCATGGACCGTCATATCAGTCGCGAGTGATGAGCCCGAAGGCCCTTCTTTTGTGATCGACATCCCGCCGCATGTACCGGTCCACCCGGTCTTCCACGCCTCCAAGCTGGCCACATATACACCAGCCAAGAGCGATGACTTCCCGGGCCGACGATCGCAGGACCCTCCTGTGGATGGTCATCAGGAAGTTGATCGTGTCATCACGCATCGCAAGCACAACAACAAGCCAATGCAGTACAAGGTCACATTCAAGTGGTGCGACCGTGGTGACGACGATGTATTTCACGAGCAGGCTTGCAAGCCTCTGCACTGCTTATGTACGCCAAATATGAGAAGAAACAGCTAGCCACGGAAGCTGCAACGCCTGCCCCTCCCACTTGGACTTCGGTCCCTCCCTCCAACAAACAGCTTCACCCTCGGAGGTAAGCTCGGTCTTTCAAGGAGGGGGCAATGTGCCATTATTGTAATTTGAGATATAACGACCAAGTACCAACCATGAATCTAGCCATGAATGAGGTCCCAAGGCCTAGAAAGAGGGTGCACAACTGTTTGACACTTGTCATAACTGAAATAAAAGAAAAAGAAAAAAAAATGAAAAAAAATGAAGGGAGAATGAGACAAAAAGGGAGAAAAGAGTGGAGGAGAATGTGTCGGCCTATAAGACTTGCATAGCAAGGACTGGCAGGTCCCAACTGTGACCTCATCCCTCCTAGAATGAGGGAGGGCAATCCAAAATGCAGAGATATGGCCCTTGGGGCTATATCTCCACAAAATATGAATTAAAAGGAAAAAAGAAAATAAGGGAAAATGCAAAAGGGAGATGGCCGTTTTTTTTGTGGACCATGGATTCGAGATCAGATCTCATGGTAAAGAGAAACTAACCGTTTTTTGTGGGTCAACTCAAAACGGCTAGCTCCGAAATGAGGTGGCAGCCCAAAATGAAAAGAAACAAAAAATGGAAAGAGAGGAAATTGTGCATTTGGCCTGAAAAGAGAGCCAGATGCACCAAAAATTGAAAAAGTGGACTTAGGGCTCAAATTTCAAGCAAGGGCTACTTGGGGGTGGCACAGAATATTGTTGGCCTTGGATCTCAGCCAGATCCAAGGCTGAAACTGCACTGCTGCATGGGAAAATATCTCGGCCAATCCAAAACGGGGTAGAAATTGAAAAAATTTAGAAAAAGGCCCACTAGGTCTTTTTCTCTCAAGTAAAACTGCCCCTTGGGCATTAAGACCTAAGGGGCCAGCATTTTGGAAGTAAAAAGGAGGCCGAAGGAGGCCAAGAGGGAATCCGAGTTGGTACCAATCACTTAAACTGCATATACTTGGCCAAAATGAGGCCCGGGTACCTCCGGAAGGGCCTAGTAGTGGAATCTTGCCTTCGAGGTACCTCGGTTCACCTCAAGGCACATGGGGAGGCCCATGGGCTGACCGGACTGCTGGTTTCAACCTACATAAGCTGGGAATTCAGTCCGCCACATTCACAATTGCATGAGGAGTGCCCATGCTGCCCAAGTGAGCTCATAGGAGCACTCTTTCACTAGGAGAGAGGAGAGGGGAACCCATGCCAGTATGGGAGCTTAGAGGAGACTATGAGCTAGGGAGAGGAGTTCTAAAGGCTAGTGGTAGTGAGGTTGGCACTAAGAGAGGTGATCCGCCATAGCCCCCCAGGGTGTGAGGAGGAGAGAGAGGCTAGAGGGAGTCCCATTAGCCCTCCTAGAGGGGAGGACTCCATAGCCACAGTGGGAGGAGCTTGCCATAGCTAGAGTAGGAAAATAGAGGAAGGAGAGAGAGGCTTGAGGAAGAAGGAAGCCATAGCCAATGAGGTATTTGTGCAAGGAGGAAGAAGCCTCATCAAGGTTAAGACTCCATCTCCAAGACATCAAGAAGGTGAGTAGAAAGAAGGAGATTCTTCTTCTTCTTGTTCTTCTTCTTCTTCTTCTTCTTCTTCTTCTTCTCCTTCCTCTTCTTCTTCTTCCCCCTCCCCTTCTTCATCTTCCCCTTCTTCCTCTTCCTCCTCTTCTTCTTCTCTTTCTTCATTATCTCCTTCTTCTTTTTCTTCCTCTTCTTTTAGTCTTCCCCTCCTTCTGCCTCCTCCCTTTCTTCTTCGTCTTCTTCTTTTTCTTCTTCTTCCTCCCTTTCTTCTTCTTCTTCTCCCTCTCCTTCTTCTTCTTGCCTTTCTCCTTCCTAGAGGTTAATCTATCTCTTGCTTTTCACAAACATAGTAGTACGTAGTGCTCCGATTCTTCCATGGATTATATCATGTTCAAAACTTGTGATTTGGTCTTCTCTATCTCTTGCTTTTCACTCACATAGTAGTAGGTAGTGCTCCGATTTTTCCATGGACGATCTCATGTTCAAAACTTGTAATTTGGTCTACTCTATCTCTTGCTTTTCACTCACATGCTAGTAGGTAGTGCTCCGATTCTTCCATGGATGATTTCATGCTCAAAACTTGTGATTTGGTCTACTCTATCTCTTGCTTTTCACTCACATAGTAATAGGTAGTGCTCCGATTCTTCCATGGATGATCTCATGTTCAAAACTTGTGATTTGGTATACCCTATCT